GTTGTTAGCCGCTCAGAGTGATACTGATGTATCAGATGGGCGGGATATAAATTAAATAAATAAATAAATAAATAAATAAATAAATAAATAAATAAATAAATAAATAAATGATGATGATTTGAAATGGAAGAACTGAATAAATTCAGTTTGTTTCGAGGATCTAGCCGTTTCTTCCACTGGATCATTTGGGTTTGGTTTCCCTTTTGCTTTAACATTCAAGGAAAGGAGACCCTTTGATGTTCAAGCCTCCACGGATGTTGCTTTGCATTGACTTGAAATGGAAGAACTGAATAAATTCAGTTTGTTTCGAGGATCTAGCCGTTTCTTCCACTGGATCATTTGGGTTTGGTTTCCCTTTTGCTTTAACATTCAAGGAAAGGAGACCCTTTGATGTTCAAGCCTCCACGGATGTTGCTTTGCATTGACCCAGCAGCCTTTTTCTAGGAATCCTCAAAAGCACGGAGCCCCAGAGGGTCGCACTGCCTAGACTTGAAGGCCTGTTTGTTGCCTTTTCTGCATCCCAGGCCCTCCTCTGGCTAGCCCATACTCTGTTGTGGAAGCCTCTGTGTCCGGCTGATTCTGGAAGAATGAGATAGCCCTCTCCTGTTGCCCACTTCCACTTGTTCGAAGCAGCCGTATCTTACAGGCTGATCTGAGGCTTCAGGGAAATGGACTGCATGGATGGCCTCTTGCTAGTTGTTCTGAGCCACAACATCGCAGGCAAGGCAGGGCTATTAACCCCCAGTTGGAGGTCCTGATGGTATGGGAAGATTCTCCCACCATGCAAAGCTCTGCAGTCAACTGGGCCTTTAAAAATCCGACAGAGCTTGCTATGCCTGGAAGTCCACACCTGTAGTTCCTAAAAAGATCAGGTGTCTATCTGTGCAGTCTTCTGTTCCTGCCTCCACCAAATTGGAAAGGAGTGAGGGATGGTGGAAGCCATTGCTTTCCCTTGGGGGTGCCAGGAAGCCCAGAAAGAGACCTGGCACAATCTGTAGCTCTCAGGCCCCCTAATTGCGTCTCTTTGTTTAGACCTCACTGCAAAAGTAAGGGAAGGGCTTTTTCCGTGGGTTTGTCTCTCGAGAGTGCGAAGTGCGAAGCTTCGTCCCATGCTTTGGTCCCTGCCCCCAAACAGACCAAGAGGGACAATAAACACAGAGAGTAAGAGCACAGAGCCATTGGTCCTGTCTTCAGAGCCAGGGGGAGGCCTTCAGCTGATTGAACCTTTCGGAGGAATAAACTCCGCTCGTTCTCCTGCCATGGCAATTATCTCTAAAGAACCATTCTGTCCAAGAATGCTGAAGTCCAAGATGCCACAGGTAGCAAATGGCAAATGAGACATCCACTGTAGACCTGTCCTTTAAAGGATAAAAATAAATAAGTCCCCCAAGCTCACAATCGACAACGGTAGGTTTTTGTCTTTTGACTTAGCCGCGTCCTCATTAGTATTCCCGGTGCCGTTGCAGGTTCTATAAATAACTTTCGAGGAGTTCTTTGATTGCCAGAACCCGATACACTCCACGGCCTCCTGAGCAGCGTGGGTTTTGCATACTATTAGCGAATCCTTGGCATCTCCACCATTAACTGTAACCATTTTTAATTAACCTGATTTAGTAGCAGAATGCCATACTCCTGAAAATGAGAGCTTGGGAACAAATAGTTATTTATTCCAGCTCGCCGGTAATGGCTGCTGAAATAGATGATTCTAATTAACTTGAAAAGAAAGAGGTGTTCGTACCTTTTGGAGCAGCCTTGGGCACCGCCTCTCCACAGAGCGTCACAGAAAGTCTGTGGAGTGCGTGTCCCAGAGCTTGGATGGTTGCAACTTTATCAAGTTATCTCCCCCCTTCAAAAAAAAACCAAAATTGCCTTCCAACAGCACACGGTATCCCTGGAAAACTCCAGGAGGTGCCAGTTGCCATTTTTTATGAAATCCCCTCTTCTGGCTTCTTTTAGGCCGGGAAATGCCATTTAAAAAAACAAAAACAAAAAGTCATCCTACCTGGACATTTGAAACACTTCCTCCCCACACTATCCATCAAAGGCTTGTGAGAGCAGACATCCCACAGGCCATACTTTGCCCACACCTGATTTAAAAGAGGGGTCCAAATGTCATACAATAATACTAATACTAATGCTAATGCTAATACTAAAGCTAATACTAATAATACTAATACCAATAATACTAATCATCATCAATCCTGCTATACAAATTGTACCAACTGGTAAAGTAAACTGGTAAAGTAAGCTGGCTGGATAGCTCTGTGGTTTAGGGACCTGACTGTGGAGCCAGACGTTGCGGGTTCGATTCTTGACTATGCCTCCCGAGAGAAGACCCAGCCTGGGTGGCCTTGGGCCAGCTGCAATGGCCCCAGGGCAACCCGGGGAAGAAGGAAAATGGAAACCATTTCTGAGTACTGTATACCTGGAGGCAACCCGGGGAAGAAGGAAATGGGAAACCATTTCTGAGTACTGTATACCTGGAAAACCTTGAAAAGGGTTGCTATAAGTCAGATAACAGCACGTGATGGATTATTATTAAGCAAGTGCTGATGTGGTCTTCCTTGTTCTGCACATGAAATAACTAACCCTTTGGGGAATAGGGAAGGTGAACCGTTCAAGAGCGTTAACCCCCCAGTGAGATCATTTGCTGCTCTGCCTTCCTTTTGCTGCTTTCAGTTACTGCAGATTGTCCGGCTCTTTCTCACGGTGTGTTTTCTCATCTTCCTGCCAACTAAAGCCCAATTCTTCCTTTTTATTTACACCTAGGCTATCCCACTGGATACCCCACTGCTGCCCCTGCCTACAATCCAAATATGTATCCAACCACCAGCCCAGGCTATGCTCCAGGTAAGCAGAACTTTCTTTTCTTGGACGTTACTTCCCCAGATTTCATAATATGCAAAATCACCTTTAATCCCATTCTTTTTTTTGGGTGGGTGGTTTTTTGCAGAGGCAAATGTATGGGTGTGGGTGTGTTTGTGTGGGTGTTCTGCATCACATATTTCATTCTGTCACCAGCTCTGCCATTATCAACATGTCATTGGCTTTTACTAAATGTACCATGGAACATTTAGCAGTACACCATAAAGTACACTGCCAGCTGTGTTCTCTGAACGGAACTATTTCTGCATGCACTGTGTAACATAGCACGTGGTGGACCGATTGTGACACAGGAGACCTGGGTTTAGATTCCTCCTCGGTCATGGAAACTCACTGAGCATGGGGGTGTTAATGGTAAAATCACTCTTTAAATATCTGAAATATCTTGAAAAACCTATTAGGTTCTTCTTGACATTGTGGCCAACTTTAGGGCGCCGTGCTCTTTCCCGTCTCCAAGCCGTAGAGCCAGGGCTTGCCTGTAGACAGTTTCCGTGGTCACATGACCAACACGATTAGACACAGAACACCGTGCCCTTCCCACCGAGGTGGTACCTATTTATCTGCTCGCATTTTTTACATGCTTTCAAACTGCTAGGTTGGCAGGAGCTGGGACAAGCGATGGGAGCTCCCTCCGTCGCATGGATTCGATCTTACAACGGCTGGTCTTCTGACCTTGCAGCACAGAGGCTTCTGCGGTTTAACCCATGGCACCATCACGTCCCACGAAAACCCTATTAGGGTCACCCTAAATGGAGTATGACCTGATGACACAGAATATGCATATTAAATAAACACTGTGGCCATGCTAGCTGGAGGAGTCAGTAAACGGTAATCCAAAAAAGTAATTTTCAAAGCTCTGAAATGACTTACCTATGGAGAGCTGCCTTTGTGGATTTCCTACATCTTCAAGTTAGCCTCCATTCAGGGCAGGTGTTTCTTCCATGGTTTGAAATGAGTTCAGTTGTTCCTGTGTAAGTGCTCCAGACTTGCATATGTCTAGGATGGAGGAAGTTTAGGCAGAAATGTAGACTGTGGACTTTTCCAAAAGATGATTCTTGCATCAGAAAGCAAACAGTTTTTACTGCAAGAGTCAGGTATGCCTCCAATTTTAATTCAGAAGAAATATGTCTCTCCTGTTTTAGTAATAATAACTGAAATGCTTCCCTTAGGCGGAGCTTCTTTGAACAAGTGGTAAGTTATTAAAATCAACATGATGAAGGGGAGGGATTCACATATTACTTTGGGTCCTTGAAGCTTTACTTATGTGAGCAAGGTAAAGGAAGCACTGTTGAGTCACCAGCAAAAGTTCCTGTTATTTCTTCAGCACATTTCAAAGTGCTGGAGATCACCAGTAGCATCAAATGGTAGCAGATGATAAAGAAAATGAAATAATTCAAGATTTTGTTCACCTTGATTCAATAATCAATCCAAAGGGAGATTAACAACAAGAAATCAGAAGAAGACTAGGAAGAGCAACAGTGAAGGAGTTAGAAAAGATAACTGAGTGTCAGGATATGTCCCTGGAGACCAAAACCAAGATCATCCACACTCTTGTATTCCTGATCACCATGTAAGGGTGTGAAAGCTGAACAGTTAAGAAAGCTGACAGGGAAAAACATTGATTTGTTTGAAATGCCATGCTGGATGAGAGCTTTGCAGATAACCCCTGGACAGCCAGGAAGACCAACAAGTGGGTCCTCGATCAAATCGAGCCTGAACTCTCTGGAGACACAAAATGATGAAACTGAGGCTCTCCTACTGTGAGCCCATCATGTGAGCCCATGATTCACTGGAAAAGACAATAGTGCTGGAAAAGGTGGAAGGTAGCAGGAGAAGAGAAAGACCAAATACGAGATGGACTGGTTCCCTAAGGAAACCCGTAGGCTTGAGTTGAAAAATGCTGAGCAGGAGAGATGAGGCTAGGACATTTTGGAGAGCACTTACTCTTAGGGTCACCCTGAGTCAGAGGCGACTTGACAGGACATAGCAAGAACACAATAACAGTGTTTGGTTGCTTGCTCAAGTGGACAACCCTAACGAGTGAAGAAAGAAGTAACATCAAGGATCTTACGTCAAAGTCAATATAAGGATGGTGAGGGTTATTGTCTTTTAGTTTAGTAGAGCGCTTTGGTAAAGGTAAAGGTTCCCCTTGACATTGAGTCCAGTCGTGTCTGACTCTAAGGTGTGGTGCTCATCCCCGTCTCCAAGCCGTAGAGCCAACGCTTGTCTGTAGACGGTTTCCGTGGTCACGTGGGCAGCACAACTAGACATGGAATGCCGTTACCTTCCCTCTGAGGTGGTCTCTATCTACTCGCATTTTTACATGCTTTCAAACAGCTAGGTTGGCAGTAGCTGGGACGAGCGACGGGAGCTCACTCCATCGTGTGGATTTGATCTTATGACTGCTGGTCTTCTGATCCTGCAGCAGAGAGGCTTCTGCTGTTTAACCCGCAGTGCCACCGTGCCCTTGATACATAACTGTTAATACAACATTATGAACAACATTATTAGAATGCAATTGCATTTTAATGCTCTCATCCCTAGTACTTCAAGAAACCTGATTTGCATTCCCATTTTACATATGGTAGATTTTAAGGTTATGGAATAATAGGGTTGCCACAGGTTGGAGCCGTCTTTGACTGGCATATAAGAACAACAGAAGCAACTGTGCTGCCTTCTGCATGTGTAACAAAGCAATAGGATTTCAGCCAATAATTTAGTCAGGGCCACCCGGCGAGCCTGTTGTCAAAGCTCAATATTGTAATTTGTTTTCTTCCTTCTGATATGTAACAAGAAGTGCCTTTTCTTTTCTCTTACGCAAGGGTTTGTCTCCAGGCGTTCTTCAAAAACTCCTGCCAGCTGGCAAACCTGAATCTTCCGGCTTCCTCATTTTTCTTTCCTATTACAACCAATTGTTAATTGGTGTTATTCAGAGAAGTAATTGCTGGTTATGACACCAGGCTTGGGGAGCTTTCTGATGACAACATGGAGTCAACTGAGACTCAAGGCAATATTTCATGGCGTGTTCGTGCTGAGTGACAGAACATTGCCCCTGTTTCAAAGCACTTATTTCAAATACTGATTTTTTCCCCTGGTGCCCATGGTTTTCCCAAGCTGTCGACCTGCCTTTGAGACTCTGCTGCCCCTGCTTGGATGTCACCCCTCATAGCTCAACAATTCTTACACAAAGATACTGTTCTGTAGTGTACAGCTTGCACACATCTTCATTTTGCAAAGATGTGTCTTTGATAGACCAGATAATCAAAAAGGCACAACATAGGTGCTTCTGTTACAAACTATTTTATTTCTTGTATGTTTGTCTCACCTTGTATCTGTAGAGTAGGGTTGAGAAAGGAAAGACAACTTAGAATAATTCAGTACACTTCAGCTGAATAAAGCAGAGGACCCAAAACCCACGATCCAGCATGCCACGGGTCCCCTAAAAGTTTGGGTGAATATTTTAAACCAAATGATTTTTTTTAAATAGTCAAGCCTGATGCCAGGGAGTCTTCCATGGGCAGGCGTCGCCCAACTTGGCATGCCACAACAACAAAAGGAGAGGGGTGCCCATCGCCTGAGTCCCAGAAAAGGCTCCAACCCCACCATCTCCACGAGTTTCTGAGGTGCAAACAGAAGGACCACCAGCCCTTTCCAGCCTCCTCCTTGAAAAACCCCAAGCCTGAGCTGGGCTGGTTTATTGCAAAGACTTAACTGGCCTCAGTGACAAGAACTGAAGCCAGGACAGAACTGAGTGTGTCCAACTACAGAGCCCTCGTTCCCCTGGGGTGACGGAGGGCGGTGACAGGGAACTGCTGGAGAAAGCTCCCAATGCAGTGAAGAGCAACCGGTTCCTGGAGCGGATGGGGTTATTGATAGGACAACCACCACCACCACCAAGGCTTCCAGTTCCACCAGGGGTGGAGGTGGCTGAATACCCCCCCCCATCTCAGCTCTGGTTACCCACATTACCCAGTTAGTCGGGTTTTACACAGATTCTGGGGGTATGCACTTCATGCCTGTTTTTGCCGTCATCTATCCCAGAAGCCGTTTGGGCCCTCTCCCACTTCTCTCCTGCCCACTTCTGTAATAACACAAGGACCCACCCAATGATCTTAGGTCCTCCCCTGAAACCTTAGGGCATCATCGGATGGTACTGACTGGAGATCTATTGGTGCATCGTTTTTGCATCTGTAGCATATGTAAGAACTTCGTTATCTTCTCAGTGGTACATAACTTTGCGTTGAATAGCTCAGAGCACCTAGGACTGGCTCTCAGACAGTTATTTTTCTTCATATGCAGATTTCTACATAATTAATCAGCTTTGATTTCTTTAACTAAGTCACAACTTGAAACCTATTTATTCCAGTGTGTCGGAAGAATCCAGACGTTTGCAATGCTTCGTTCCATTTGAAAACAGTGTTATATTGATTGGAATAAGAGCTAAACAGAAAATGTCAGTCAGGTTCTTGTGATGCAGAAGATGAACATCCAGCTTATATTGATTTGTCTTGCTTTGCTTGCGCTTGCATTTTTAGCAAGGTTAAATAAGAATACCTTTTTGAAGAGGACAGGAGCATGATGTCCTTGTTGGTGGGGCATCACGCTCACCCAGCATCTGAGCCTGTTGCTCAGCCAGCCCAAGATCCAGAGCGGACAGAGGCAGAAGCCAAGATGAGTCCTTCCTGAGAGAGTGGGACACAGACAGAGGCCCTGGTGGCCATGACTGCCCTGAGGATCGGGGGACGATGCCTAGGGGAAAGGAAGGAGACTCTTTATCCTTGGTGAATGGCAGTTTTAGAAGCCACCTTGCCTCCGAGGTGGCCAGTGTGCTAGGAGTCTGGTTTCCAAAACAATGCACCCAGGGAGCAGGAACTGGGGGGTAAAGATAAGTCTTTTGTTGAGAAACCCAGGGAGCAGAAGCCAGAGGACTCAGGGGAAGAGGAGGGGGCCTTCAAAGAAGGAGTTGG